AAAAAAAAAAAAAAAAAAAAAAAAAAAAAGGAAAAGAAAAGAATAAAAGTATAAAAGCACTAATAACACCTTTTCAAAAATTTAGTCCTCTGTAGTACCTCTGATGGCGTACTTACGAATTTTAGCAGCAAATATTTATGCCAAAGCTAATTACTGAAACACAGCTTCAAACTTCTAAGATGCATTATAACAGCTAAAAGTGCAAATATAATCATTTAAAAACTAGATCTCAAAATGTTATTTAGAATAATGTGTTCCATGTTCCCGATAAAACCATACAGCGAAAAAGGTTTCTGATATAAGTTCATTGATTAATATAACCTACTATATTTGGAAGGCAAGGATGCCTATTTGCTTTTAAGCATCGGCAATAAATTATCCTCCAGAAGTAATAAAACTCATTATCGCCAAAATTAAACAGATAATCAACAGCAAATAAAAAATTCCAATCTGCCAAAATAATCATTTCATTATAGAAACCTCTTACCTTTTCAACCAATCCCCAAATACAACCATGCCTATCCAAAGGAAAGGAAAAGCCCCGTCTTACAACAACTCTGCATTGCACTTCCTCAAACCTCAATCCAGATATGCATCTATCCCTCTGCATCCTGAAGATAGCTCTCTAATAGATTAGAATAACAGAATAAAGCTGCACGACATCGTCCAAACCAAGACAAAAAACCATACAAAACATGCTTTCCAAGTTCATTAAGAGACCTCAATTATAAAATTTCTGGAATAATTTACAAAATGTCAAGTAAAAACTGGTTATAACACTTCAAAATATAGAATACAATCAGTATCGACCTTTACTATACAGCAGAAAAATTTTTATTTGATAAATAAAATCATTCAAGCAAACCAGTAAATTTGTAAAAAATACAACCACCCGTCAACAAAAACAAAGAAGACTTCACTTTTTCACCATTTAAATATCACGGAAAATGCAACTCTAAGAATACTAACGTCTAACGACCTAACTCCCCTAATTTACAAATTTTACTAGTCAAAATAACATTGATTTGAAAAGCAGATAGGTTTTCACACAATTCAGGCACTCAGGTAAAGAAAATTCAAAAAAATTTATCTCGGCAGTCAACCAGAAAAAATATTTTAAAAAAAGTTAATAAGAGCAAAATTAACAAATTAGAGAGTTACGTCATTTTTGGGGTGAGACCAACATAAAAAGATTATAATAAAATCTAAAAAAAACTATGAAGAAATCACTAAGCAAGTCCTGTTCATTTACCTCAACGTCAAGTTTCTCAAAAAGAACTGTATTTATCAGGCTTTGCAAACAATACCCACAAACCTCAATATACCGAGATCATAACCGCAACAAGAAAAATTTCCATACAATTGGCATACAAAAATAATAACAAACTTAAGAACAAAATATCGTACATTTTGCACCCTAAAAAAGCTATCTTCACTTTCATCCATTAAAAGATTTAATGAAGAGTCCACTTACAGGCCAAATATACACTGAGCCAATAATAAAATGAATAAATTAACTTTTCAAAATCTAAACATTAAAAATCGAACTCTTCTCTAGTCAAATTGATATACATTTCCTTCTCCGCAGGTGTCATTTGACGCACAATTTCTGGAGTGATTTCATCTAAATAATATTTCTTATCTCCAACTGTAATAGTCTCCTCGTTATCACTCTCTACTAATGTGTCATCCTTTTCCAATTTAGGTATTTTCGCAGCAGGTTCCGGCGAAGTTGTTGAGGGACCCTACAAAGAAAAAACTGCTAGGTTAATTACCTCTCTTCATTGATTTTAAACTTAATAATAAATAATTCGAAAACGGGAATCTAAAACGTTAAAAAAAAAAAACCTGTTCAAATTCTTCCATCAATAAAGTTTCGACCTCATTTTCCACCGGATTTTCAGCCACTGTTTCTGTCTCAGCAAGTGATAAAGGGTCATCAACTAGGCCCGCGAAAGCATTCTTAACCGGATCATCCCCCTACAAAAATTGACAGCACATAAAGATGTGAGGGAACTCGCTATATAATACCTAGCGACCTACAACGGCTGAATCTATATTTAGTAAAAGTAGGCAACAGAAAATGTAACATCTTCAAAAAAGATTACCATGTTGGGATTTGGCGAATGTAACTGATTCTGCAACCACGGTACAACCTTCTTCTCTTCAACCTGTGGCGTGGTATTTTCTCCTTCTATACTAACTGTGATTCCATTTTGATATAAGCTCGATCTACTAACATTGTGACCTTTAAAAGCTACTTCCCCGACTTGCAAGACCTTCTTGTCAGATGCTGTAAGTAACAGGTTAGTCATAAGTTGAATACCGAAATGACAACATCAACTTGTTGAATACAATTAGCTTTCAGTAGAAGAACCGAGAAGTTACGAAAAAACTACCATAACTAAAAATTTTACATAAATAAATACTCATAAAATAAACTTCCGTTACCTTCAGTGGTGTTATTTTCAACCACTTTCAGTGGAGGTTCCAGAAGATGTTGAGCCAAACGAATACCATCAAGTCCTTGAATCATAGAATAAAGCGGAGCCATCTGTTCATTAAATCGAGCAAGAGAAGATCTGAAGACCATAAACAGGTTAAGCAACAACGAAAAAAATGCAAAGCACCGATTAAAGTCTCGAAATTTCCCTCATTATTCTCATAACAGTAAAAATCTTCTCCAGCACCAATAAAAGTCCCTACGCTCGAACAACAACAAACCCTTAATCCAAATACTTTTTTTTTTTTTACTTAAGCCATTGAAAAATTATTCGTATTTTAGAATCTTCTCATTTCACAGTTAACACATCCTATTTTCTGACTAAAAGATAATCCTGTGAACTTTTCGTGTAACTAGATGCATAGATATTACTCAAAAATATGAATGCTTAATATAGTATTCATTTTAATAAATTTCAGAATAGCAGCATATGTGAGGCAATGACCCCGACTAAGATGAGGTAATTTTTCAGGCTACATTCTAACTTTTACAAAAAGAAAAATATAACCAGAAAAGCACTACATGTCCCTTCATTCAACAAAAATCGGTACTGAGGTAAAATTCAAAATACAGACAAATTACCACACTAAGCTTGCCAAAAACTCAAGACTATTACTTCAAACATTAGAAAATTTCTTAAACTCTACCAAACAAAAACCTTTCAGCTCGCAAAACAACTGCAGACATGAAGTAAACAAAAAAACCATGTTCCAGGACCTTTCGCTAAGATAAGCTAGTCCTGGTAATTAAATATAAACAGTAAGATAAAAAGAATTCAAACCTAGTCTCATCTGTAGGACCTGCCGTTTCGTCCGGTTCAACAATGTGCTGACAGCGCCAACACCGCAATTCTTGTGTAACTGGGTCAAATATTTTATCCATTTCCATAGCGTCGTAGTGACGACGACAACCACTGCATTTATACGACGCTTTATGAACTTCATCCTTGTCTTTCACTTCCAAACGTTGCCTGAATTACGTGTAATAAAAATTTTAAACCGAAACTTCTTTTCATTTTTTTTTCAATTAACTTTTGCTGGAAGAGAATCATAAACACTTGTCAAATAAGACACTCGCCAACTCTTTCTGTTCTTCTAAAAAATAAATCATTAGAGCACATAGGCATACAGTTAAGCCTGTTACCTCATGTGATCAATTTTATACTTAGTCACATTCAGCAAAGCGCGATAGTTGATAAAATAATAGTTTACTTTCCTAGATCTACCTTCCAACTCTTCTGAAACAATTCTTTCCTTCAAAATTTTGTCAACCTTCAGTTGATTCAGCACCTGCAAAAAACAATGCATATGATTTTAAATTAGACAACGACGAAAATTAAAAAAAGTCATCTTTTCCCGTAAGGTTAAAGAACCTGATACGAAAAAAACAAGTTAAAAAAATATTTTTCCAAAAAAAAAGTAGGAGATAAAACTACCGAGCGCATAAATCGCTGATCAAATTTAAGCAGATGTCGAAGGTCATCTTCTTTTATACAAGTATTTTTTTGAATGTAGTCAACGACAACGTAATGTTCTCGACCGTAAAAGGCTTTAGTAACAATTTGAGCGAACCTTTAAAAATAAAATAAATTAGTGAAACTTTTAAGCAAGGGAGTATACCTGGAAGTTTTCACCCTAGATGTAAGCTCTAAAAATTATATCCCCAAGCCTATAATTCAAATAAAGTCCAGGACCTTCAGAGCCACACCTCAACTGAAAATAAAGCTCTCAAATTAGTTAAAGAAAGTCTTTGCTTCAGATCTATCCGAAACAAAAAAAACATTCAAAAAAAGCATCCAAATAACAAAAAATCTGTAACTAACAAGCAGGAGAGAAAGTCGTGCAATGATTTCCCTCAAGTAAAACAAATAATTATACCTTTGTTGGGATATCATTTAGTTTCAAAAACCCTCACTAGAAAAGCAATATGAG